ATCTAATCCTCAACTCTGGCTCCTCCATATCTTCAGGAAGACCCAGAAGCAGCTGAGTGGTTTACAGCCGACTCAATTCAGCATAATTGATACTTGCTTAAAGGGAAACGCGATCATCCTCACTATTGCTAACATCCCATTAAGACTAAAAGTTAATTAGGCTGTGTTCCATAAAGTCAATTTGAGGCATTTGTCTCAATAGCATTATTGTAATTATTCCTCATCAAAATGAACACCACTTCCTACTGCGCGCCAACGTCTTGTGTAAACAACAGCACAAACCCAACAACTCACATTCCATTCTCCACCTGAGTTATTCAAGTAGGTTTATGTTTATGTAGAACAGCAAACGGAATTCATAGACAGTAACATGTTTAAAAACACACACACACACAGGCATATTCAAGGTATCTTGTTTGAAGTTTCCAAAGGCTGGGAAAATATAAGCAAACGAAAAAGCATGACACATTTGATATATCATAACGATACCAGTAAAAGACAAAAAGAAGCACCTCCTAAAGTCAACCTACTATACATGCTGGTGCCTAAGAATGGAGACCACAAAATGCTGACTGAGTGCACGGCGTGGTGTCTGTGTGCCCTGTACCCACTGCCCCCACCCCACGACTGTGTTTCCAGCCACTCCTCAGAAGGCTCTGGCAAGATCTCGGGCACACAAAAGAAGCAGGGGCACCAGGATACCCACTGACGATGTTACTAATAACCAAGAACAGAAGGTGATCAGGAGTGGTGGACAGGCTGGGGAGGGGGAGCAGTGAAACAGGTGAAGGAGACTAAGGTACACGCCTCCAGTAATGAAATAAATAAGCCGTAAGGATGGCCAGAGACAACACAAGGAATGTGGTCAATAACACTGTCATAGCTTTGTATGGGGACAGATGGTTCCCAGATGTATCGTGATGGTCATTTCATAACGGGTGCATGTGTCAAATCACTATACCGCACACCTGAAAGCAACATAATACTGCACGACAACTACAGTTCAATTAAAAAAAAAAAAGATGGTTTCCCTGGTAAAATTTTCCTCAAGACCCAGAATTTAAACAGCAAACTAATTCCCTTGAACAAATCTTTTTAAACATTATATTTAATAAAATATAAATAAAATTAAATTGTTAGAGAAACAAAACAAAGGCGCTAAAATCCAAAAGGAAGAGTGGTTTATCATCAAGGCCTACATATTGTATATTGACCTCTAATGAATAAACTTTAGTATCAGAATTAACACAGTCTTAATATCATGCTTCAAGAGGAAAACTAAACTGCAATCATAGTTTGTCACTACTAGTCCACTGGCATCATCCATGGCCCAGTGAAATGACCGCAATGGGGGCAATAAAGACAGAAAGGCTGGAGGGACAGGGCCAGGGCTATCCCAGAACTGCAGACAACTCCCGCAGAGCTGAACCCGACTTGGACAGCAAGTGCCCTCAAACAGTGATTCTCAAAATTGGCCGCACATTAAAAGCACCCGAAAAGCTTTAAATAGCCCAACACCCAGGCTGTCCCCCTCCTCCCTCCCTCATCAAATCTAATCTCTCAAGGTGGGGAACCCAAACAACCACAGTTCTCAAAGCTGCCCAGGTGATTCCAACGTGCAGTCAAATGCCAGACCCAGTGCCTTGTCTATAAAAGGCCTCAGAAGTGATTCCACCATTAAATGCTGATGACGACATCTGTCCATTTCTCAAGGGAAAACAAAATACTGGTAAATAGTAGTGGAACCAGTCATAAGCCGAGAGTCCAGGTTCTGGTTCTGCCCCTCTTGATTTATGTGACTTTTCAGCAAGTGCTTGATTTCCTGGGGCCTCCGTGTGTATGTCATTTTAACATGAAGGGGTCTGCAGGTTCTGGGAGAGCCTATTGAACCCTGTGGTTCTTACATACTAATAAAGCAATGCTTCCAAATAGGAGGGTTTGGCAGGGTTAGCAAGTCTGGATCAGGATCCCAGTTTTATTCACTCTTTTTAACTTTTTATCAGAGTTGGACCCACCAGTAGAAACTGAGTGAATTCCGCATAGGTCAAGTGTCTTTTTCTTTCTTTTCCAAAATGTAGTTGCACAAATTCTGAATCCCAGTTAAATGGAATATGTTGATGAATTGTGGTCTGTCCAAAAACTTGCTTCACATCCTCTAAAAAAAGGAAAGAAAGATTCGTTAAAACAAAGCAAATCAGGTTGTTCCCTTATAAAGCCTGTTATTAAAAGGGTATCACTACTTTCTTTGTATAAAAAGTAACTTTAAAAACACATGCAGATTATAAAACCATGGCAGAAAAAAAAAAGTGGGAGTCCCGTGAAATCAAATCATCCTACACAACAAAAGGAAAAAAATCAAGAAGTCACACTCACACACACACACAAGGCCTAAAAGGCAGTAGTAAACCAAAGTAATCAGCGAAATGTCATATTCTCATCTGTTTTGTTTCAACAAATATTATTTTCCAGGCACTTCAGTGGCAGGAAACACACATACATATATACAGGAACACATATAATACTATACAAGTCTTAAATAGCATCCTTTATCAAGCTACTCAAATATTTTAGAGGATTTAGAAATCGGTTAGCTGTAAATCTCAAAGCATGTATTCAACAGCACCAAGACTCTACCGGAGTTTTACCAAGTTCCACAGTTCCAGATGCCACGCTTGAAGACAAAGGCCAGGGGAAGAAAAACCAAGAGCCCAGTCCCTTACTCCGTCCTGCACACTCCACCTTGACACAGGCTTTCAGATGGTGCACACAACCCCACTTTAAGATGGGCTACCAACTGTCCTACATACCAATGCTTCCCCTCCGTCAGCCTCTACTACAGAAGTCAGAGGACTGACAGAGAACAGGGAAAAAAAAAATGATACCTTACTTTTCTAAAACCAGATGCTTTTATTTACTTGTCTTTCCCCCTCTCCCAGCAAGAGTATGTTTGGAGGGGAAAGGGGCACAAATTATATTCATGAATTTGCCCTGACCTTCACATCTTCAAATAAAGCTCCCAAACCTGCTCATTTTTATGAGCAAACTATGCTACCTTGTTTTCTTCCCTCTGCATCTATTTAAAAAGGGAAGAAAGAAGTAAATTCTTTAGTCCTCTAAAGGGTGCCCCAAACTCTGGCATGTTTCCACTGTTTCCCCCAAATTCCTCCTTCCACCCACCCCTTTACACCCACAAGTTTTTATTCCATGCTTTTAAAGTTTCCAGAAATTCTGAAAATCTTGCCATGAAGAAACAGTAGTGCTGCCATCAGAATAAGGCTGTGTGTGGATCTGCACAGAGAAGGCAATAAAAATCAGAATTAAGCCAGGCAAAAATTTTATAAAAGATGGCAGAAAACCTTAGGCTGACCCTGATGAGGACAATGAAATAAAAAGTTTTAAAGTGTAACCTTCAATTTCTTTGAATTTATTCTGTGTTCTCCACTTTTAGGAAAGCGGAGACAGAACATAAGAAGAATGAAGTGAATCAAGTAATTGGGATTTAAGAGGTAAAAAAAGGAAAGACTCTCAGAGGATGGCAGGTAATGGGAGGTGGAAGGTGATGAATGAAATGAATTAAGCAGGAAGAGACTCCTCAAATTTCCTTTAGGCTCTGAAACATCTGAGAAGAAATTACCAAACTGAAATTCAGAAGACTTGGGTTCAAATTCTACTACTGATAGTTGCTAAAATTTCTAACACACTTGCCATGTGCCAGGTATTTTTGTTCTAATGGCTATCTATGGTAAAATAGACATTAACCTAGATAATAATATGCAGTTCCTTTCCTGTTCTAAATTTCTATGCCACTTATATCCAGAGGAAACTAATTCAAAAAAATACATCCATCCCAATGTTCATAGCAGCACTACTAACAATAGCCAAGACATGGAAACAAGCTAAATGAGTACAGACAGATGCCTGGATTAAGAAGCTATAGTATACATACATATATATCCACACACATACAATGGAATACTGCTCAGCCATAAAAAAGAATAAAATAATGCCATTTGCAGCAACATGGATGGACTGGAGACCATCATACTATGTGTAGTAAGCCAGAAAGAGAAAGAAAAATACCATATAATATCACTTACATGTGGAACTTTAAAAAAAAAACTTATTTAAAAAACAAAAACTGATTCACAGACACAGAAAACAAACTTATAGTTACCAAGGGGAAATGGGGGGAGGAGGGGTAAATTGGGAGCTGGGAATTTGCAGACACTAATATATATAAAATAGATAAACAACAAGGTCCTACTATATAGCACAGGGAACTATATTCAATGCCTCAGAAGGGCCTATAATGAAAAAGAATGTGAAAAGAAATATACATATATATGCATAAATGAATCACTATGTTGTACACCAGAAATTAACACAACATTGTATATTGTATACTTCAATTAAAAAAAAAGAATAAAAATAAATTTCTACGCCTCTATATGAAGTAGGCCCAGCACAGACTGAAGGAAGGCCCCACAATCTTCTAATCCAGACCAATTATCTAATGAGAAATGATGTTCAAATGACAGAAATGTGACCAAAAGAAAAAAAAGAACATAATTTTTTATACTATAAAAAACAATTTAACTACAGTAACATTTTGGAGAAATACACAAATGAAAATGGCTTTTTGGTTGTTTTTCTGCCAAGCTGGTGAAATAAAGATTCCTTTCTGCCACGTATTCTGTTAAAATAACATTTCAAAGCAATAATCATAGGATAGCTGTCAAAAAATGAGGTCTTTCCTTTTCTTGACCTTTCCTTAAATATCCTACAGAAAGTATTAACCCAGTATTGACATATAAAGCTAAGGCACTTATTTTCCATTTTAATATTTATGTGGTATATATAATATATACAATAAATTTAAGTTACTCAAAACTTAGTAAATGAATTTAAAATGTGCCTCACTCTAACCAATAATCTTATCTTTCCTATAATTAAAGTAACTATCATTTACTGCTTACCAGAACTCTGACTTGAACCCAAAACTGTGAACTTTGAACCCTAAGTCTAGAGCCTTTTCCACTGTACCATTAGCGCTCATCTCTCTTATGCAAATACCTGTCTCAAGTATTGAGATCTAGTCCCTCTGAAGTACAGAGCTATACGTGATCCCTAAGATGCGTTTCAGCTCTACAGACTGTCTATCCTACAGACCTGTACTACTGAGAACGTATTTTTAACCAAATCTCTCTATATAGAATGTACAGGTATGCAGACAGGTCTGTGTGAGTATACATATTTGTTATATACAACTTCACTTTTTACATAGATTATTAGACCCTGAGAACAAAGGCTCTGTTTTTCACATCTGGTTCCCCCACTGTGGCTAGCACAATGGAGCAACTACTAAGTTGTGGCTGAATTTAAACAAATAAGAAAAGGTTTACAATAGTGCACGTTAAGGACAGTGGTATTAACCCTCTGAGGCACTACAGTTTCCACCTTACTGAAAAGCCATTTCGGCAATAATTTCCTAAGATTTTAGTGAAGTGCGTAAGAATCATCAGTCTTGCTTATTCAAGCCTCCAGCCCCATGCCCAGGCGGATTCAGTGGGCTAAAGAACCTACATTTGAATTAGAACCCCACGTTTTTCTGATGCAAGGATGGGTCTAGGACCACATTTTGAAAAACACTGTCCTAAAGGGTTATGGAAGGGTTTGTTTTTTTTTTTAATTCCCCACTGAAACAAACAAACAGGAAAGGGAGGCAGTGGGAAAGATTCTCCAGACTAGCCAATATAATGCAGTAAGTGTAAACACAGGCCACCTATACATGCCAAGGGGACATGCAGGTTGTACAATGCAGTAAATGACATTGTGACTGGTGCTCCCTAGAGCTGGACAGTTTACAAACTACATGGCCCTGAGGATGTGGTCCATTATCAGTTCTCAGCTGTTCTAACATACCGGCTACCACAGCTATGAGCACTGTACTGGGTCCTGTGGGAAGTGAAAGGGTGCTGAATCCAAGTCTAACCCATGAAAAATCATTAAATAACGGATCCAAGTGTATACTGGATTAGGTGCTGAACTGTAGGAGTTCCTCCTGGCAAAGAAAGAGACATTTAAGCCGGGGTAGGGGGAATGGACGCTTACAAAAGTGGGAAGAAAAAGCTTCTTGGAGAAGATAAAACTTGGTCCTGAGGGCCGTGGAGGATTTATTCAGATGGATCTGTGAGGGAGTTTCTCGGCAAAGAGCAACAGCACGAAGAAGGGTTCGTTTCTTCTGAAGTGAATTAAAGGTCCAAACAGAGCACTCTGAACCAAAGCCACCTGCTGTCACTGAGACATGACAGATGCTGGTCCAGGCACTTACAGATGTTGGCTCACTTGCCAGCAGCAAATATTATTATTTTTAAACACCAAGGATTGATGCTACATTTATGGTGAAGAAAAGATTGCTATGGGAAGAACATTTGGTCATGGAATTCCACAGAAATAAAGGCCCGGAGTTTTCCACTACTCGGCACAATGTCTACAAGATTTGTTTTTCACTCTCTTAACTTACCTAGCAGAGGTTTATGTACTCAAATATCTTAAGATTACCAAGCTATTCTAATTGGACAAAATAAATGATTTGTGCATGAGGGAAGGAGGATTATTGGTAAAGAGGAAAAACTACTAATATTTTTATAGTCATTTCCATGGCTAATCAATTCATTGGAGAAAATAAAATATTAAATTTTGTCACTCTGGAAAACTCACACTTTTTCTCCAAAAATATTTTATAGGTTCCTAAGTCTTTGAAGATTTCATCCTGCTCCAACAAGTCATTCCAAGGCATTGGTCTTCTGAAATGTGTGGCCCCTACATTTTCCTGTCGATTTGTGACCAGAAACAAGGTCTATAAACCCAACAGTCACAATGACTTTTGGGATTTCCCCCCTGACTGTGGAAGACACTGTAATATCACTCAGGTGAATACTCTTTTCTCCTTTTAGGAGGCAAGAATAGTTTTCTCACTTAACATCTGATTGTTTAAGGTTTGCCATGCCTTATGAGGCAACGAGAGGTAAGAGTACCCCTTCCGTTATACAGGTGGAAAGTCAGAAACTAATGAACCAAGTGACTTTCAAATTCTGCTCTGTACTCTGGCTTTTATGGGAAATTGCATGAGCTTTGCCATTAAAGCCTCCAGGA